GCATGCACGGAAAGAACATGCAAACTCCACCTAGAAAGGTCTATGTCATAAAATAGAATTTGATTATACTGCCATTGTGTGTATGTGTGTGGTTTAATTGTATTTTTTGTCAATTTAATGTTTCACATCCTTCACCGAGCAACAGACTGTCTTTGTGTTGCACCTTTCACCTACATGTCCTTGTCAGCTGTCAACCTTCTGCTAACACACTAATACAATATTACAACCATTTCCTTGTCTCTGCCAGGTATAAAGAGTCAGCTTTATTTGTTTTGTCCTGTCTTAAGATGAATAAATGTGGTTTAAAGAGCAACAATGCAGTAGAAATGGTTGTAACAGTATAGCAATAATCTGTTTTGAAATACTGACAAAAACTTTAATCAAAATCAGTCTTTATTAATCTATACACAAAACCACAGAGCTGTCAAAAGATGTTCGAAACAAGATAGTAGATCAACACAAGACTGGAATGGGTAACAACACCGTGAGCAAGAAACTTGGTGAGAAGTTGACAACTGTTGGAGTAATTATCAGGAAACAGATGAGGGGGACAAAACCTTCAGTCGTACTTAGTGGTAGTCTGAAGGATCTTGTCTCAATGAGTGAAGATGATCATGTAAAAGGTGAGGGATCAGCCCCCAACTACACATGAGGATTTTTGATCTGACTGGAGGCAGGACCACAGTTGGCAGGAACATGCTTTGTAACGCACTATGCTGTAGGGTCTCCCTTACAGCTAACAAGACTAACAAGATGAGACGAAAGCTAATGAGACCCTAATAATTACTGTTAATGAGGAAATGTACTGAAGCAAGTTGAAACGTTCAAATATCTGGAGTCTGTGATAAATGTCAAAGGAAGCTGTGAAGACGACGTTCAATGCAAAGTTGTTGCGACGTGGCAAAAATGGAAGGAGCCGACAGGAGTGCTTTGTGACAAAAGGATGCCAGTTCATATTAAAGGGAAAGTGTACAAGATGATGGTGCACCCAGTCTTGCTTTGTGGAGCTGAAGTATGGACATAAGAGAGAAAAGAAAAGGAACTCCTGGAAAGGACAGAAATGCAGATGATACCTGGGATTCTTGGAGTATCCCTCAAGGATAGACGGTGAAATGACGATTTTAGAAAAATGCTTGGCTTGGCACGCATCACAGATAAGCTACAGGAATGAAGAATGAGATGGTATGGGTAGAGATGACAACACGGTAAAAAGGATATTAAACGCTGAAGTTTTCAGTCAACGAAGCAAGGGACGGCAGAAGAAGAGGTGTAAAGGCTGGTCTTAAGTTTTCCAGTGATTATTTAAATTATTTGATAAGGATTGGGGGAAAGTGTTGTGTTCAAATCAAACCAGATGAGCTCTTTAGCATATCAACGTGACCCACCAGGTTTGAAGGAAGAGAAACACCTAGTATCACCTGAACAAGTCCAACACCACAACCAAACACAGAGGTGAAACTTTATTTTGGGAAAGGTTTTTTCTGCTGTGGGTACAAGATGACCTCACCATTCATTCGACCTGTTTAAGGGGCAAACAAATGAGTCCATCTTGGATAAGAAACGTCCTCCCCTCAACCAGAACACTAAAGATGGGTTTGCCAACATGACAATGACCCAAAGCACACCCCTAAGAACTGGTAGATGAAACCTTGTAAAGATTCTTCCTTTATGCACCCGAAAACTATTAAAAGCTTCAAAGCCTCAAAGATGGACCCAATTAGTGACATCTACTGATCAGCTGCAGTTACAGCAGCTGCAAACATCCAACTGCTTCGTACTTCTTTTCAGTTTGAAAACACAAAATAAAATTGTTTTTTTGAGCATCTGTGTGTACACTCAAATACTCGCTCACAGATGCAACATAATATTCCGATTTTACTACAAGTAAAACTACAATAAATGTTTTACTGCAGCAAAGATTACTCCACCATGGACTGACATCATATTTGTCTTATTTTTGTCGTTTTCATATTAAATGAAATGTCTATAAAAATGAACGAGGCTGTTAAACTCGGTGAGCAAACTGAAAATCATCATCAGGGATCAAGAAATAAAAACCTCCGCACTATGTTGAATATGTGATCATTTTTTTCTCATGGTTATAGAAAACCAGATTCTAGTTTTGCTCCAACACTCAGACTTATAGTTCTACCACTTTTTATTCCAAATTGTGATTCCAGTTGGCTGATGACATCACCCATTTCAAATAACATTTGTTAGGGACTTTTCAGTGGAAATTCACATTTCTTCTTTTTGACATGTTGCAACCTAGATGCTGTTAAACTTGGGTTAACTTCTATATTGTTACATTTGCATCTGTGTCTCGGTGTCTCTAGAAAGCGAGTGAAGGCTCTAGAAAGTCTTGTGGCTTTGAGCCAGAATTCTCTTCTTGATGATCCGCAGTCTGTGACGCTACAGGACAACGTGGAGAAGCTCCGAGCCAAGTTCAGACAGGTATCCAGCCTTTTGTCTTCACTCACACCGATTCACTTTCTAACTGGACCCAGAAACTGGCTTTATTGAAACCTGATGTGGTCACAATATACAAGCTGTCAAACGCTCCCTCGTGTGTTTCAGAAATTATCTTTATGTCAACGAGATCTTTATAAGATCTTTAGAAAGTGTGAGGAACTATCACTGAAGACCTTGTAGAAAAATAAACAGTTTGACTCTGTTGGAGCAGATGATTAAAGGAATGAGAGGTGGCTAGAGATTTATTTGTTGTGTGAAATAGAAGAGTAATATTAAAGATCCAGCGTTCTTGATTAAATCTATTCCACCCACCACATTCATGCCAGTTTTAAACTACAGTCATCTTAAGAGCTGAATGGTTATTGCTCATTTAGTCAAATCTTGAAAGTTATGTTCTTTGCAATCTCCCTTGCAAAATCTTGCCTGATCAGTTCGAACTAAAGGATCGCGTTGTGAATGATTTAACTACTGCTACATTGAATTTAAACTGAATATCTGTAAAACTGACTAAATTGTAGCATATTTTGTGTTTACTGACATTAAACTGTGGCAGCCATCTTGAAATAAGTAGACTTCAAAAGATAAACAGTTGCATATATTCATTCAGTGATTCTTTTGTAAGAGTTTCATTGAAGTTCATCTAGTGGTTCATGAAATATTTTGCTAACAGGCATGGTTGACTCCCAACAGTTAATGGCAGAGTTTGAATCAAAGATGTCATACAATCTCCCACTATGTGTAAGCAATGACTTGGCTACTAACAAACTTTTAGCTCTGTGCTTGTAAAATTTACTGTTAGACAATTTTGAGTTTGAAGTTGATTAGCTGTAGCCACCATTTTGAATCAGGTTGGCTCCAAAAGGTAATCAGTTGTAAATGTTTAGCCAAAAATTGTTTGTTGGAATTTTATTATAATCTGTCTAGTGGTTCATAAGATGTGCTAACAAACACATACATACAAATGGTTACAGTTGTCCCTCGTAGGAATGTGCGATATGGCATAAAATTCATATCACGATATATATTGTGAAGGGTGGCGATAACGATATATATCGCAATATGTTTTTGGTATAAAACTTGCAATAGGAATTTAAAAAAGCATAGGCTGTCCTTTTGCCATCATATATTTTGAATTAAGAAAATTCCACTACTAGGTCCAGAGAGTTTTTGAATAATAAACAAATCAAGTATTAGGCTTCTTTCTTGTAGTGCAAAATATATAAAATGTAGTTTTAGCCATATGTTTTAAACAAAAGAATATGTTTTTAACTCTTAACAGTTTCCAGTCTTCTCACTTAAGAAATGAACAGCAAGAGAGCAGCAACTGAAAACACTTCATCCTCCAAACCTCTAGTTGGCGTCTCCTTCTGCTTTAATGGAGAGCTGACACAAAATGAGTCTGTGGCTTTGACCAGAGGGTCTCACAGTAAAATCACACAACACAGAGTTCTTTTCACAGATCAGAGAGCAGGTTTCTCTAAAGATTACCAACGCTTACTTTAACTTTCAACGGAAAAAAAAATCTTTCGACGGAACTCAGCATTTTACGCATGCATCCAAATACAGCAACACTACGGCAAGCCGGCCGTAGTTAGCTTGTAGCTTTGCTACTTAGCCCTCGAAGAAAATACTTTAACGCCACTTGTGCAGTTTTCAACTCAAAATAAGTAACGATTAAACTGACAACTCTGATTTTACATCAGACAGCATTACTGTGGTTAGCCAGTAGAAGACAGATCTCTATCGTAGGCTAAATTTCTATTGTTTCTACCGTGTACCGTATATATCGCGCATTCCTAGTCCCTCGCTACTTCGTTTATTTTTCACAGACTCACTCTATCACAGTTTTTCAAAATAAGATTGGACATGACACACACTTGTCTGATTGATGGATGAGCCGCCGCACGATCAGCAGGGAATTTTTATTTAAAATAAATTATTTTAAATTATGTAGCACCTGCGTGCAGCCCACAATGCAGGAGAAGCTTCCTCCTGCAGTGCGTCATATCTCCACTCTGCAGAGGAAAAGTGGGCGTGGCCAGGAGCACTGGCAGGTGGCAGAGAGCAGCCAGAGACAGAGAGCAGAAATCATGACATTCTGTGCTCTTTTAGAGTGTTTAGAGTTTAGAAACATTTTTTAGAATATTGCAAGTGCATGGGAAGGGTTTAAAACACCTGAAAAAATATATAAATATATTTATATATATATATATATATATATATATATATTACACTAAAATAAACTACTACTTACTACTTGTACTACTATTCCTACTTTGCGGTTTTTCACTTACCGTGGGGCTTCAGGGTACAGATCCCCCGCGATAAACGAGGGACTACTGTATTAGAAAAGACGAGCAGCAAAATAAATCCAAATGGAGTCAGCAGGTTTAATTTAAGTAAAAAAGATGCAGAGTTATAATTAGACAAGGTAATGAAACAGTTGTTGCAACCCTAAGATTAAATCTTTTAATTTACATGTCTTAAATCGAAACCACTAGGTGTTAAATTATTTAAACATCATTTTTTAAATTTCTACAATTGTTTTAATCATCCAGTAAGTGTGATCTGTCACTTGCTGGTCTGAACACGGTTAAACAGGTCAGCTCGAGTGGAAAAAGTGCTGACAGTGAGACGGTGCTTTTACACACTGAAAAACCATGTGACACAGATGTTCACTGAAGCTCGGGCGTTTCTGATTGTTCAGCTTTGGGCCCCGACAAAGGGCAGGGACACCTTCTGTGTGGACGCTGTCAGTGTCAGTAGGTAGGTGCATGTTGGATCGGGTGTGTTGAAGCACAACGTTGTAATGAGTTGAAGCACAATGATGCAATGCAGTCCTTCTCAAATAGTGGGGCGCGCCCCCCTGGGGCGGCCCGGGGCAATGCCAGGGGGGCGCATGTGACCCTACAAAACATGCCTATTTTGCCGCAGGGAGTAGGTTTTTTTTTGTTTTGTTTTTTTCCCACCATTCTCATTTTGTCGCGTGCGTTCCTAATAATAAAGTTATGAACAAATATGGCTGCCTTGTCGTTTTGGAGCCATGCATGAACCGTGTCTCTCCTCTGCTGCTGACACGATAAATAAACTCCGACCGTCCGTCACCTCCTCTGTCCTCCACGGCTGTTTTTATGTCCATGCGCTCTGGACTGAACTAAACTCACAGCTCGCATGCAACAAAGAGTAAACTCAAAGCGAGAGCGACACCTGCCCCCTCTTTCCTCCTTTGCGTTAACAACATGTTTTAGTTTTATCGATGAGTTTTTCAAAGCACAATTTATAAAAGTAATGTTTAATAAATGTTTGGACTATTCTTTGCTAACAAAATAAATTCACCTCCTCAGTTAAGCTGCTGTTTTTTTGATGCTCTGGACGTTTGTCACCCACAGCACGCAGGCGACAAAGAGTAAACTCAAAGCAAGATGGTTACCTGCTCCCTCTTTCTTCTTTCATGTTGACAATTTTTTTTTTTGTTTTATCGATGAGTGTGCTCATTGATACCGACTTCCTCATTTTGATTTTTAAAAAAATCAACAGAAAATAATTGAGAAGCACTGATGTAATGAGACATTTACAAAAAAAATCATCACGTCTTGTTTTTTCCTGTTTGTTACATTAGCACATATGTGTCAAACTCGAGGTCTGGGGGCCAAATGTGGCCCTCGTTGACATCTGGCCCCCAAGATGATATTTTAAATGTAAAATACTTTTATCACTTTCATTTTTATTCCTGTAATCTTTGATTATGATGTCAAAAGTGCAACAGAGAACGTCAAATGAGACCAATCAAACTCTTGTTGATGAACCTGCAACCAAGAAAAGATGTTGGTATCTGACTTGAGTTCATGTAGATTCTGAAACCGGCCCTTAGTTTGATAAAGGTTTTAATTTTGACCTCCTTTTGTAAGTGGGTTTGACACCCCTGCATTAGCAGAATACCTCATAGAGCACCGGACATTTTAAGTCAACTGTATTTATAAAGCACATTTAAAACGGCAATTGTTACAAAAGTTCTTAACAATAAAAATCTTTGGGAATAATTTAATGGGAAAATAAAATGAATGATGGTACTGAAATTTAATCAAAAGCATCAAAAGAAAAAAAACACAAAACAATAAAATACTAAATCAAATCACACTGTGTTAAAAGTCAGGGAAAACAAATGTGTTGTGAACAGAGATTTAAAAACAGGAAGTGAAGCGGCCTGTCTAATGTTGGGGGCAGATTGTTCTAAAGTTTAGGGCCCACGATTGAAAAAACCCGATCTCCTCTGAGCTTCAACCTGGTTTTTGGTACAACCAAATGCAGATGATCTCAATGCCCAAGAATGAACATATGGTTCCAGTATATCAGAGAGGTATGAGGGTGCAAGGCCATTAAGGCACTTAAATGTCAGCAGGAGTATTTTAAAATAAAGTCTGACATGCACAGGGAGCCAGTGAAGGGAGGACAGAACTGGTGGAATATGATCAAACCAGCAAGTTTCTGTTAATAACCGAGCTGCAGTGTTTTGGACAAGCTGGAGACGTGAAATGGACACCTGACTGGCCCCAACATAAAGCACAGTCCAGTTGGGTAGTAGTGAAGGCATGGACTATTTTTTCAAGGTCAGGTCTGGTCAACAAGGAGCTTTCTGCACAACAGAGTTAATTTGTTTATTAAACTTAAAGTCAGAATCTAAAACCATCCCAAGATGTATTACAGACTGAAGAGAGTTTCACAGTTTAGTGAAACTCTCCATGTAATCATTGGATGTGCATCTACAACTCAGCTTTTGAAGACAACCCATTCAAAATGGCAGCCTTAGCAAAACACCTAAAAGGCTACAACTCATCCAGTTGGACAAAGATTGAGCTTAGTTTTGGCATTGTAGTAGCTGAAGGTTGTCTGCACATACTTCAAGCACTCAGGATCACACGAAGTTCATGCAATCTTCCATGAGATCACACATGCTGTCATTTACATGTTTGACGATCATTTTCATGTATTGTTTTACTCTGGCCTGCGAGGCAGCAGGTGATGGCATTCCTTGAAAGAATATTGAAGAAATCTAATTTGAATATATATTTGAATAAGAAGTTAGTATTCAATTATTAATTTATTTGAAATTCATTTTTTCTTTATGTATCTTATGAGTGCAGAGTCCTGATCAGAACCTGTTTTAAGGATATTTATTTCCTCCACCATGAACAATCCCACTGTGCGGTTGAATAACAACAGAAACCCATTTCTGCATGCTAACTATCTTCTCTCTGCTGTCTGCAGGTCTGCTCGATGCTAAATGTCCCCACTGACTTTAAGGAGTACTTTAAAGGAGCTGAAGGGACCTCCTTCTGAGACGGTCGAGTGGAGCTGCATGAGGAGCAGAGCCTGCTGGTTCATCAAAGACAGACGAGGAGATGGGCTGCGATGGCCGCTGTTTATGAGGCGGCTGACTGGTCTGCAGTGAAGTCCTGAGAACTCTGTGAAGCAGAAACTCTGGTTTTTACTTGTTTTTGAGAGTCTTAACTGGATTCATCTCAGCGAGGACTGAACTAGAGTTAAGAAAATGAAAGCAGCCAGGCCACTACTCCAGTTAGACTCCAGAACTGGGATGAATTGGATTTGTTTGTGATTGATAAGAGTGGATGTGGTGCAGTGATTCACACATCTTGATGAAGGCAGGATGACCGTCCACTCACAGGACAGTCTCAGATGCAATAACTGGTTTTAATGTGACCGTTTTGGTGTCTGACCAGTATTATAGGGATTTAGTCAATGGCTGGTTAAAGTACTGGTGGTACATTTACTTAAATAACTTGAGTAGATCAGTATGCGTGTGTTAAATTCAAACACATTCTATTCTGCAGGTTTTTTTGTTTTTCAATAAAGTATTTTGAATACTCACCACAGAATATTTTTTTTCTTTTAAGTGCTACTGAAGTACTCTTTCAATTTTATGCTTAAAAAAAAAACTATCACTGTGTGTGTGTGTGTGGGGGGGGGGGGGGGGGGTTCACATGTGGAAGGCATTCATTACAGTTTATACAACTGACAATAAAAAGGTGATGAAATGGCCACACTTAGCTGATGTAACAATTTAATGTTGTATTAAATAAATTACAGACCCTCCTCAAAACTTTTTTTTTTTTTTTTTTTCAAAATTCAAATGGAGAAACAAAAAGGAAATACATTTAACTTGAATTCAGTCACAATTGCTATTTTAGATCAAGCAGAGGAAAAATGGAACCACACAAATAAATCATGAATAAACGTGTCATTAATATGTTTTTGCATCACTTCTGGCTTTTTTAACAACTTGAATTCCCTGAGGCGTGAACCAAACTCATGACTTCATCAACCTGGAGCCTTGTCTTGGACCATTTTCTTCAATTTCCACCAGAGATTTTCCAACTGGATTAAGAACCAAACTATTTACAGGCCATGCCATTGATATTATACGTCTTTCTTGAAGGGATTTTTTCACATCCTTTGCCCTACAACAAGATGCATCATCACCAAACATCCTTTCAACTGATGGAATAAGAAGTGTTTAAAATTTCAATGTCTGCTTTGGCGTTTATTGAAGATCTCATAACTGCAATAATCCTGGTGACTTTACTCAACCTGCAGTACCAAACCATCAATGACTGGAGATTTACTTGTTTTCTTCAGGCTGTCTTCATAAGTTAGTTTGGGCGTAAATGATGACTTTGTCTTTTTCTCTATGTAAATCACATTTTGTCCCACTTGTTTCCAATTTATCCATTTTCTGTTTACAAGACTTTTGTTTTAAGTTTTTTATCCTGACGCTTTAATGGCTTCCTTGGTCGACCAGGAAGCTTCTCTTTTACTATCTTCCTTTTTTGTTTGTACAGTAGTTGGTCCAGATTTTAGATACAACTGAGTGGGAAACACCAACATCTTTTTGTGATGATTTAACTTGGAAGTTTTATAATTTTCTCTGTTTCAACTGATGAGGCCATGTTGGAAAGGTAGTGATTCTATATCCTGATGCATGCTCAATAATCCAGGTAGAAAAATCTAAAAAAGTTAAATCTCTGCCTCTGGACCAGATCTTGATCATGTGATCAGCTGGTTTTGGTTGTCAGCAGCAAACTGGTTGATCCACTCTGAAAAGGTGCTATTTATAAGACTGAGCTGAAAACAGCACCTCAGACTGAGGAAGTCTTTCGGATGAAAGACAAAACGTTTCTACATTTTTATTTTTATTTTTTTGCTTTGTTTTGTTTTTTGAATGCCCAGAGGACCAGATTTAACTTTTTTAGATTAGTGATTAGTGATTCTATGTTTTTTCCTATACTTGATTAAAAAAAAAAGGAATTGTGACTAACAATTATATTTATTTTTCTTTTTGTTTAATAATTCTAGAAATTTTTATTTCTGAGATATGTTAGCTGTGTGGCATGTGTGATTGGCATGTAGAGAACTAAATTGAACAGGTGTGCATATTATGTTGGAACCATTAACTCGGGGTCCCACAAGGAGGCAGCATGGGACCTTAAAACCTTTTCTGCAAACCGCATACTTAGTAAAATTGTACATAGAATAATTAAAAAAATCCTTGTCTTTTATTATTGGTTAGATTTTTTTTTATTGAAACAAATGTGTCCTTTTTTTTTTTTTGCCTGCTTTAATAAATGAAACTCAAGTTGAGCTGTTCACATAATCAGCTCCAGTGTCACTGCATAATCACAGCTTTAGCAGATATTACATGTTCAATGGAGTCCAACAGTCTGAGAAAAAGTAAGTTTCTTTCGGCTGCTCCTTCAGGGGTTGTCACAGTGAGTTAACTCAACTAATTAGTCTTGTTTCATGCAGATGTCAAACCAAAGGGAGAGAACTGAGGGGCCATGTTGGAGCAACAACAGTAAACAAGAAAATAACTGAACTATTGAATAATCTTTATAAAGACAAACGCCTCCATCCCCAGAGATGCTGTTTTAGAAATCTCCCACAATGACAGTGAGAACAAGATTCATAAATCTAGAGAAGGCTGTTAACATTCAACAGCTGGTGAAGAAGCTGAGATTACAATTGGGATTTTATTTCAGGACTGCGACTGGTTGATGCTACTTTTATGTCTGTACTGGATTATGGTGACATGTGGATAAGATAGGGGGAGATAAATCAGATGAGGAAGTTGTGCAACTAAATATATAACACTTGTTGATATAACTGTTGCGTTCCACGTAGCTAAGAGACTAAATTACTGGTCATCGTTAACTTCACACAGACTCTCTCACTGGTACATTTTCATCTTTAAATCACTTATTGGTCTGCTGCCTTCTTACATCTCCTCCTACATGTCTCTGCGTGAGTGCAGCTACAGCGTGCACTCTCAGGACATTATTACCTGCAGTGTTCCTTCAATGAGGACTGAACTAGGCAAAAGGGCCTTCTCCTACTCTGCTCCTGTTTCCTGGAATATCTTGCAAAAAGATTTGAAGCTCTCAACCTTGCTCTCTCTAAGCGGTTTCAAACACCTGTTAAGTTCATGGGAAAAAACAATGCAGACATCTTCCTGTTTTTAGTTTTCTACATTGCCTTACAACCTAACTGTTTTTTGTTACATCTATTAATACCATTTTATTTTCACTTGTTCTTCTCAATTTGTACGCATCCTTTATGATTGTCTCCTGTTGTTTTTGTTGCCCACTGTTGTCATCACTCTTTGTTAAAATCAGGTCTCTCTTGTAAATAAAATCTTAAAGCACAGCACAGGGGCTCCTCAGGGGATGATCCTCTCACATTTTCTGTTCACCCTCTACACCCTGGAATTCAGGTACAACTCACAATCCTGCATCTGCAGAAGTTCTCTGATGACTCTGTCATTGTGGGCTGCATCACTGGTGACCAGGAAGCTGAATACAGAGGTGTGGTGGACAGAACCACTGCAACTCAACGTTGGAAAAACTAAAGAGCTGCAGGTGGACTACAGGAAGAAGATCACCCCCCCCCCCCTCAACATCAAGGGTACAGGTAGACACTGTGGACTGCTACAAGTACCTGGGGGTCCACTTAGACAATAAACTGGACTGGACAGCTAACACCAATGCCCTGTATGAGAAAGGCCAGATTTGTGTTTTTCTTCTGAGAAGACTCAGGCCCTTTAACATCTGCAGGACCATGCTGCAGATGTTTTACCACTCAGTGATCTCCAGCTTCTTCTACACTGTGGTGTGCTGGGGCAGCAGGGTGAAGAAAGCTGATGCCAACAGACTTGATAAACTCATCAAGAGAGCTGGTTCAGTTCTGGGAGTGGACCTGCAGTCTCTGACAGAGGTGTCTGAGCAGAGGATGCTGAGGAAACTGATCCAGATCCTGAACGACACGTCACACCCCCTGCATGACACCCTGGACTCTTACTGCAGCACCTTCAGTCGTAGACCGAGACCACTGAGGTGCTCCACAGAACGACACAGGAAGTCCTTCAAACTTTCAACTCCTCCCCCTTTCTACGCATAGCACAATAAATTAATCCTGCACCGCAATAAACACTTTAATGTTTTCACATTAAAACGTTTCACACATGCCTGCCCTTTACCTGTTTAGATCTTAATTTCTGATATTTTTATATTCTCTGTTATTCATTATATTATGTTCTCGTTGTATCTCGGTGCAATGATAATAAAGTTTATTCTGATTCTGATATCTTGTGTGATTCCTTGTGTACGTTCCTTTGTACTGAAACTCTGGAACAATTTCCTGCGGGATCAATAAAATTCTATCTTATCTTATCTCTTAAATGAGTCCCCGAGGCTCACTGGGATTAACCTGTGTAACTAAAGGTTGAATGAAGAAAAAAAGAGACCTAGAAATAAATGTTCCTGGAATATAACCCATGAGTGACTTGACTTCATGACAGTAGGTAAACATTGATGTTTAACAACCTGTTAAAATAGACTACACCAAAATGCAAGAAATACTGGAGCATCTACTTTATTCCAAATTTTGCCCCCTCCACTTCCCCTGCTCCCACCCCCCACCGGCACGCCTGCTATTTGTGCTCCATCATCGATCAGTTTACAGTTTGTGAGGAGGATGCACCTTAAAGCTGCACCCATTTGAAGACAAAGAAGAACAGGTTCTTATTTTCATTCATGAGCGTTACCTGAATTCAACCCACAACATCTGTGAGACATTTGACAGAGATAGGAATGCATTCCTGACAATACAAAGTACAAGGTACCTTTTGAAAACTGTGGGGGTCCATGCAGTGGCAGCAGCCGATACTTATCAAGAAGTCTCCATCTCGCGGAATGTTATGGACAACGAAGTTATATTGTTTGGAACCTTAGGGGCTTTATTCTATTTCATTGATGGAATCTCCTCATTGGGATGCGATTCAGTCAACAGCACAACGCAAATGTTAAACGTTTGTTGTTTTTTTTCTAGCTAAAACCACATCAGCAGCTACTGCTTTGGACCGCGTGTGTAAAGCTTGTAAATGTTGTCTGTGCACAACAGCAGCTTTAGGAGGCAGGACCAAAGGGACTTTTTCAGCTTTTGTTTAATGGCCTGCTTTCTGTTCTGTTTCCAAAGCCATTCTGACAATAACCCAACAGGCCTGTGTGTGTGTGTGTGTGTGTGTGTGTGTGTGTGTGTGTGTGTGTGT